ATTAATTTATTTTAATGCAAGACTAATGCATTCCTATATTTTAGGCCTTTAAAGTCTTAAAAAAGGGTTTTCCTTTTTTATAATCTATTTCATCGAATAACTCCGTAAACGCTGTTGGACAACGATATTGTATCCGCATCCGAATAGAACGTTTAACTCGGAATGTTCTAAACAGCTCGGAAAACGCCCTTCGATTCGAAAGCGATATCCAATCGAATGATTCTGTACGGTGCTCCATACACTTATAAATGATAGTATTATAACTGTTAAGAATGTTTATTAGTTTTGATTCACAACTAATAAAGATACATTTGATACATATGAGTACACTGCGCGATGGCTGATTGTGAACTAAATATAAATTATAACTAAATGTCGCATGAATACGTAAAATGCCGCATAAACACAATGTACGATATTGCACCGTACATGCTCCGGGCAGGAGAAAAATAACAATGAAAAATAAGTAAATATAAAAGAAAGTAGTAAGAAAAAATAAGTATTACATTACATGACATGAGTAAAACATTATACAAACAAAGCGAATACTTATTAAAATCTACTAGTTAAAATGTTTGCGAAAGACAGGCGAGGTTGCCTTATTAAGTGCGCATGCACTAAGTCGATTCGTGTGACGCGCGGAGTCACGTTGCGAGACAGCGCTTCCTTCGGGGACAGCGACGGTGGCAAGGGAGCGGCTCGGTGGCGTCGGTGTGGGCAGCTCAGGTGTCGCAAAGTCAGCGGCGGCGAGAGGTCCGTGGGTACGAACTAATGACGACATGCGTGCGATGCATGCAGAGCGGCGACGTCGATCCCGCAGGCGGCGCCATGCGTAGATCGCGCCTGTGCATACAACAGCAGCTACTAACACATATATGACAACGTACTGATGTACGTCATGGTAGGATGTGTGATCTTCAAGTATATCCTGGGATTCTTCCATCTTCATTTGCTGTATCTGCTCTTCTAAGACCTTTATCTGCTTTTTAAACATTTGATCGCTGTCTTTTTCTGCGTTATAGTCGTTGACTGAGACGGAAATGTTGATGATATGATTGAAAGGAGGAATTTCGACCTTCAAGATGTCTGCTTCAGCGTTCAAATCATTGTTTCGTGTTTTGTGAGAGTATATTGTAAAGGCTTTGTCCTTGATAATGCAGCCTTCACCCAGTGATATAACTCCAGCAGCATTAAGCTGTTCGGCAGTAACTTGACTCCCACAAATTATGCGTACGGTACATTGACCGCAACAGAAAAATAGGTATGTATTGACCTTACTGAGTTCTAACCACATGGTCTTGCACTTGACAGTGGTTACAAGACATTGTTTAGCTTCGTTATCCCGTATGCAGAGACTGTTATCCGACTTCATCAGGTACGTTGGTCTTCGCAAAGGACACAGGTAAGTATCTACTTCGAATGGAATACATTTGTGAAGATCATCTTCGTTCATTGTTAAGTACGAATCTTTGTGCATGTTTATGGCTATAAGACTGGCTATCGGTGTTAGGGTGACCATATTTTCTTGCGCCTTTATTGGGACGGCGATTGTCCTGTAGATTTCAAACTGCTCTCGAAAGATTAGAGGTATTTTTATTTCAAATATAAAAAATGACTTAGTCATTTTTGCTCTGACTTTCAGCAAGTGGTAGATCTTCCGTAATTCAGACTGCATGTTGCTTATAGGTAGTGTTAGTTCCTTTGACAACTGTCCTGATACTATGTTCAGTTCATCTCGTAGTTGTTCAGGTGTAATGAGATGAATATTGAACGTGCCATAATGAGTATTTGAGATTGTGTCCAATAACGTATCTTGAATGCTCTTCAGATTAATCAAAACGTTGTTAGCGATGATAGCTGCTAATACAAAGTCGTTGTTGTTTGATACATTGGATATCTCTGCTTGGAGAGTGTTCATTGCTTTTTCCAAGTCATTTATGTGCTGATTGACGAGCTTGTGTTGTTTGTCAAAAGTGGACTCTACTCTTTTCAGTAGGTTAAATTGGGCTTCTACTACAGAAGTTTGATTTTTCCATAATTGGGCGAGATGCTTCTCATTGTCTCTAAGTAATTCGATATCCTTTTGATATTGTTCGGCGAACTGGTTGTCGAGTACTCCGAATAAGGAATGTGCAATGTTGCCTATGCCATTGATAAGGCCACGGCGCACGCGCACGCGAGAGTTCATAGTGTCGAATTGCTGTCCGAGCAACATATGATCGTAGTACTCCAGTTCCTTGAATGAGTGACGTAATTGTAATGTGACTACGTCACATTGTGCGGGCTTCTTGGCTTTGTAGCATATGTTCGCTAAGTTATTCATATGAGTTGTAAATAGTGATACACCTTGCCAATAAGGATTCATATCATAGTAGACAATTAGTTTCCATTCGTCGCGAATTAAATTCATATTCGAAATCTTGTCGAAATAAATCCCTTGATTAGCTTTCAGGCTTTCTAAATTGTAGGCACCGTGGGACGGTGATATAAGCATAAAGGTGAGCAGCGCTACAGCCATTGTGATAAGGCTATTTGATAATTTGCCGCGCGCTTTATTTGTTTTGTTATTTGAAACTTGCGATGTTTTTGGTTTCAGATGGTTTTCTACTTCGCCGCTGCAAGTGTTGATAGGCAATGGTGACAATTTAGTGATAGGTCGTCGGATAAAACCGTTTTTTGTTTTTATTGTCACCACGCGGACTAGTCCGTCCCTGCCGGGATGAAGTTCAGTAACCCTGCCGAGAGCCCACTTCCCAGGGGGTAAGTTAGCATCATGGACTATGACAATGTCGTTCACTTGCTGATTTTGCTGCGGGCGATGCCACTTACTGCGTGCGGATAATTGACATAGGTATTCTACTTGCCATCGTCTCCATATGTCATTAAAAATTTTCTGCGTTAGCTGCCATCTGGTTCTTTCGTCATGTTCTGTCTCAATAATAGTGAGAGTGGGACCGCTCGCTAGAAAATGGGATGGAGTTAAAAAACTCATTTCATCAGTGTCTTCTGACAATGCGCATAGAGGTCTTGAATTTAGACAGGCTTCTAACTGTGATAGTAATGTAGTGAACTCTTCAAAAGTCAATTTTTGTTCACCGATGACTCGTCGCAGATGATATTTTAAACTCTTTACTGCGGCTTCCCAGAGTCCTCCAGCGCTAGGCCATGACGGTGCGTTGAAGTGAAATTCGATCTGCATGTCTGTTATTTGTGTTAAGAACTCGTCGAGTTTTTCTTGTAGGTTGATGTAGTTTTGTTGTAGAATTCTGTTCGTTCCTACAAAATTTGTACCATTGTCGCAGTAGACGTGACGTGGTGCTCCACGACGTGCTGCCATCCTGCGCAAGGCTGCTATGAATGCTGTTGCTGATAGGTCGGAAACAAGTTCTAAATGCACGGCCTTTGTCACCATGCAAACGAATACAGCAATGTAGCCCTTTGTTGTTTTGACGCCGCGACCTTTGTTAGCCTTTACGTCTACAAAGCCTGTGAAGTCGACACCTGTGTTGTAGAATGGTCTTGTTGGGTTTGTTCTCGCGGCTGGTAAGTCACCCATTTGCTGTGTTTGCTTAAGTGGATCATGTCTTCTGCACGTTACGCAATTACGTAGATGCTTTTTCACAGCTCGGTTTCCCCCCACAACCCAATAGTGCTGTCGCAGGCGAGCTTGAGTTAGACGGGCTCCTCCATGAAATGTGTCTCTGTGGGCTTGATCAATTAGCAAGTTTGTCAGATGACTGCTGTGTGGAATCACCAATGGGTGTTTCATGCTATCATCAATATTAGCATGTTTAATCCGTCCACCGACTCTTAACAACCCAGTATGATCTATATATGGATTTAAGTTAAAAATCTTGCTCTTTGACGATAACTTGTCTTGATTTCGTAGGCTGCTGATTTCGGAGGTGAATTCTGTTTGTTGAACTCTCTCTACGATTTTGATTTTTGCTCTCTCAAGTTCCTCGATTGATAGATAAGATTGCTTGGGTCGGTTGCGTGTTACGGCTCGCAGTACCCAGCCCAGCACTCGAGTGGCGCGTGTAATGCTGCTGTACTTATGTATTATGTCATTTACGATGTCGGCGCGTTGCTCCGTCGCGACGTTTGATAATAATGATGTTTTAATTTCTTCATCAGTGACGTAGATATGACGTTCAGCTGGTTCTTGGTTTTGTGCAAATGATTGTAACCACGACGGCCCAGTCCACCACAATGGATGCTGTTTCAGTTGATCTACTGAGATGCCTCTGCTCGCACAGTCTGCTGGGTTGTCACCTGATTTGACGTGCTGCCAGCATTCTGCAGGCATTACTACAGTTATTTGTTGAACCCTGTTCGCTACGAATGCTTTCCAGCGGTTAGGATCACCTTGGAGCCAACCAAGTGCTGCTGTAGAGTCTGTCCACCCAAACACAGTGATATGATGGCCAGATAGACTGTCTTGAACTGTCTTCATAAGCTTTGACAGCAAAAGACATGCAGTTAGTTCTAAACGCGGAAGGGTCACAGTCTTTTTGACAGGAACTAGTCTAGCTTTTGCCGCTGCTATCACGATCGAGGGCTGTTGATTGGAGTTGCATGGTTGCTTATTGATTTTGCAGTATATTACACAAGCATAAGCTTTTGTAGACGCGTCACAAAACCCATGTAACTCAATGCTTTCGTTCCGGCTACTTCCAAACCATCTTGGAATTTTTATTTGATTGATATCTTCTAGTTCTTTTCTGATTTTATGCCATTCCATGCTCATGTTGTCTGGTAACTGGTCATCCCATTGCACGTCTTCCAGTAGCCATACTTTTTGAAATAGAAGTTTCAGTGTGGTAGTTACGGGAGAGAGCCACCCCAATGGATCGAAAACCTGGGATATTTCAGATAATAGGATTCTCTTGCTTATTGGCTTTGATGATGATGGTTTCAGTATTATTTCAAATGAAAACTGATCACGTTGTGGATTCCATCGGAGCCCTAATGCTTTGGTGGAGTCCTGGTGTTTGAAATCAAATGGCTGCTGCTGATTGCTGCCATTTTCGGAGATTGAATCCTCCCGATTTGAGTAAATTAATCAAATCTGCTTGTAATTGCCTAGCAGCCTCAATGCTGTGGCTTCCACTGAGGAGGTCATCCATGTAAAACTCTTCCTCTAGTGCTTTTGCTGCAGAAGGATACTTGAAGCCTTCATCTATTGCCAATTGCTTTAATGTCCTCATGGCGAGAAAGGGTGCTGCCTTAGTGCCATAAGTTACAGTTGTTAGTACGTACTCACGTAACAGTTGATCTGTAGAATCTCTCCAAATGATTTTTTGAAGATGTTGATCCTTTTCGTGAACGAGTATTTGTCTAAACATCTTCTCGATGTCAGCTGTGAAAGCAATCTTATACTGCCTCCACCTTAAAATCAATGATAGTAAATCTGACTGTAAGTTAGGTCCACAGTACATTAAATCATTCAAGCTGCGGCCAGATGACGTAGGCGATGACGCATTGAATACGGCGCGCAATCCCGTTGTAGTGGACTCAGAACGAATTACGCAATGATGTGGCAGGTAGCAACTTGGTGTCTCGTTACTTGTACACTCACACATGTGGCCGAGATTGATATACTCATTCATAAAGTCCCTATAATCCTTTGCTATGTTTGGATTTCTTTTGAGTTTTTTCTCCAACTGAAGAAATTGTGCTACGGCTCGTCGCTTTGATTCTCCAAGTTGTTCCTTGGCATCAGGTTTCATTGGGAGTCGTACGACGTAGCGACCATCTTCTTGGCGGGTCGTTTGCTGTTCGTAAAGCTGCACACATGCGTAGTCTTCTGATGACATATTAAGGGTATTATCGCCAATATCTTCAATAGACCAAAATCTGTGAATGTCTTCCATGTTGTTCAAAACTACGTTGCATTGATATGTTTTCACATTTCCACAAAGTAGCCAACCTAAATGCGTCTGCTGAGCTATAGGTTGTGATAAGTTGTCGCCTTTGATGACACCGCCCAACACGATAAGCGAATAGATGTCAGCTCCGAGGAGCAGGTCTACAGGACGACTGTTGTAAAACTCAGGGTCAGCTAGAGTTATATTTTGTATGTGTGACCAAGACGGTTTCTCAAAAGTTTGGTTTGGTAAATTGTTGATGAGATTTCGCATAATAAATACATCTGAAGTGAAAGTGAAATCTCCATGCAATGCGGACATGGTTATCTCCATGACGCCCTTGCAGTTGTTTTCTCTTGCTCCGAGGCCTAAAACTACACCTTTACAGCGGCGTCGTGGTAAAGCTAACTTTTGAGCAGCATTTTCCGTGATGAGAGAAACCTGAGAGCCTTGATCAATAAGCGCTCTCATGGTGTAACGTGTACCATCTGCGCCTTTAACTGCAATCAGCGCTGTAGCTAATAAAATTTCAGCTGATTGATTTCTAGAAACATGTGCTGTGCTGTGTGATATAACTTGCTCGTTGTTAATTTTCGAAGTCGGCGGTTGCTGTGCCTTTGTAAAAGCGTCATGTAACAAGGTGTTGTGTAACGCTGAGCATTCTCGACACGTTTTTGTAGAAAAACATTTATTGTCGGTATGATCATAAAGACAATTGGTGCAAAGTTTCAATTTATTTGCAGTTTTCAATTTCATGTCGCTTGTTAGCGACAAAAAGTTTTTACAATGAA